TGTTATTTTCTCATGCTTAGAGTCAAGTTAAATTTTTAGCAAGAAAACTACAAGGTAATCTCTGTCCTTCCCATTGCTTCATATATTAAGAGGCATATATTATATATGCATATATCTTCATATATTAAGGGCAAATAATGTCAGTTTTGTCTCACTATTGGTGATGCTAAGTTTGATTATTTGGTTATTATTTTGCCATTTTTTCCACCATAAAAATAATTTTTCTCTTTGTAAATAACAAAGAGATCCATGGAGTTTAATATGTTGAGATTGTGTGATTATCTGTTCCCCAATAACAACCTCTTGCCTAATGGTTTTAGTAGCAATTGTTGATCCTCACCTGAATCAACTGTTATTGTTTTAATGGAGGTTTTTAATAGTCCTTGAAAAAAAGTTGTAGAATTCTGAGCCATCATTTGATGTTTTTATATAACATTTATGATCCTTTGACTATATTTTGTTTTCTAACTGATCTACCACATTTTTAAAAAAAGGCAGTTACCATCAGTACATACCTAGCTTCATCAGGATGAGTGACCCGTACAGAATCATTGGGTATATAGATCATATTTGTATCTTCAATCTTATATATTGCATGACCTCCAATATCTGCCATCTTCCTCCTTTTAGTTATTAACACAATATAATAGCCTTCTAAAAATCTGACAAAACCTATGCAACAAAAAAGAAAGATAAATATGTTTTTTAAACTAGGTAATGCTTTTATTGCACATTTAAAAGGCCAAAGATATTTGATAAATTTCCTACTTTATTATTTCTATGATTTGTAGTCAAACAAATTTTCAGTTGTCTTAGAATTATTCTCTAGAAATATCTATATTAACGTTTATCTCACTTAAAAATATTTACTTTAAACAATTTTATTTAATTCATACATTCTTTTTAGTCTCATTCCAAATAGCACTGAGATGCCTCAAACAAAAATATATACAAGATTAAGGGGACTTGTTCAATGGGTATAGAGCTTCAGTTTTGCATAAATGAAAGAGTTCTTGAGATCTGTTGTACAACAAGGTGCATACAGTTAACACTGCTGTACTATACACTTAAAAATGATTAAGATGGTAAATTTTATGTATTTTTACCACAATTAAGTATATATATATAACATATATGTATGTTTGTGTATATAGATACAGAGATGCACACACCAGATTGATAAAAACAAGGGAGGAAATTACAGTAAATGAGACTGTTCAAGAACCTCATAAGATGAAGCCAAGAATAAAAGTCATATATAAGAATACAACTTAAGGTCCTAGGTACTATGCCACACATTTGCCTCTGTGTTCTCTAACAAACAATGCAAAGAGGAACATCTATCCACTCATATCATACATGGTAGCTGAAAAATAAAACCAAACCAGTTACTTGGAGAAGGTATTGTAGTTCTGAGAGCTGGGAAAAAATTCTAGAGCGATTCTTCATAAAAAGGTATGTGATATAGGGAACAACAATCTCAGAAGAATTCTCTAGCAGTGTCAAGAACACATTTCTTAGGGCTGTTTTATATGCCAAAAAAAACCCAATTCTATAAATGTCATTCTCTACAAACTAAAATAATGCAGACAAGGCACACAGCCGAATGGTGGTCTAATTTCATTTGCAGATAAAATTAAAATATCTATGGCAGCATTTCCCCAAATGTACTGTCCATGAACTACTAGTTCACGCATTCCAGAGGGAGAGGAGTGGCTCTGAGCAAATAAATTAGGGAAATATTTGGCTAAAGAAACTTAAAACTTCTCAGAACTTTACAGTACTATGCTAACATGCACTGTGAACCCTGGAGATAAAGACTAAATGTCTTTCCAGATTTGTTGGATCACGGAACCTCCTCCCCCACACCTTTTTAAAAAGAAATTTAC